GTCCAATGCTCGAATCCGTTTGCACGTCTTGGCGATTACATTTAGGATGCGAGTGGAATTTTTCATAATGGGGGTTAATGTGTAATCGATTTCAAGGCTTGAAATGTTGGACAAGCTAGATTTTTGAGCGCCGAGATCAAAAATCCTGTCGCAGTCCGGTATGTCGGAGTGACCTAAGTATTTGTCGAGCTTGAATGACCTTAGGCCAGAAGAACATCTTAGAAACAGCTTACAAAAGGAAGAGGTCATGATGACCATTTGTTCGGCCAAATCATTTTCCGTGCAGCGGTCGCAACTTCGTCGATAAATGAATGAATGCACCATCATCTCCACATCCATGAACGAAAATTTCTTTAACAAGGCTGGATAATGAAATAAAGGAAGCACCACCTTTGGTAGGTGAATGTCGTAGGGCTCCAGTGAGGAGTTTAGTTCTAATCGTTCTTGTTCATCGAGGGAGTTCAAGTAGACGCACATGATCTTAAATCGACCTTCCGGCAACAAATTCTCAAATGGTTGTGACCACAAGAATGGCACCACGTTCTTGCACCAGTATCGATTGACCAGGAGAAAAGGATACAGCGGCTCGCCTTGATCATTAATATTTTTAAATATCAGTTGCATGCATTCCGTTGGAAGGGTGGGAATCACGAGGTTGGATGGCGTTTTCTTAGATGATTTGGGGTTGAATAAGTTAATCATAAATTGTAATAAGGGACAATAATCGTTTCGTGACGTCATCTTTCATCATAAAAAAATCTGACGTTTGTGATGGTTGTGGTCGACGACTGGATTATTTATATCCTTTGAAGTGAGCTTATTTGGTGCGATCTTGGTACTTTGGTAATAATGGTTAAATTTAGTAAATGATAAATAAACAAGGTGGGGCGTCAATTCGATTGTTCCTACCGCCGATGTGTAAACTCCAAGGGACGATGCTAAAATGTACTGTACGTCATGCATAATAGTTTATTATTCTATAGAATTAATTTTGTTGACTGTTATTGCCAAATTTAGTGAACACTATTTTTAAAATCATTAATTTAGAAAGAGCAACCACCTACGTATAATTGCTTAAAAGGGCGACGACAATGGAACCTTTTTGTTATCATCCGAATTTTTTCTGCCGAAAAATTGGTGCGTTGCGCGCATGTAAAGTAATTACTTTTAAGAATAGGTGCGCGTGTAATCATGCAGCATTGAAACTCGTCAAAGAAGGAAAGGAAAATGGGAAAAAGTCAATTCGTTATGTAGGTGGAGGTGACAACAATATTTTTAGGGACAATACATCGAAAATTTTGCCAAGGTTATTTGGCCGATCCTGACAAAACAAATTGTGGCTAATGATTGTTAATAATCAGCCACCGGCAAACACACAAATGTAAAAAGTCGCCCAGCCATCATGACATCATTTTCCTATTCTGGTACGATTAGATATGTATAGATATGTGGACACACGTCGTACGTGTGCAAAATTTAAAAAATTGTAACACGGTGCGTATTGTGGATTTTAATAAGTTATTAAACTGTCCAAATTTTCTTGATAGACTCGTGTTTCTATGCTATGGCGAAGAACTCGATCGATCACACCTGAAAACATGTGCTCGTAGAATTGTCATTCCCAAATTTTGGAACTGGTTAAAATTTTGGCAAAAGCAGGCAAATTCGATTATTTAAGTAATAATGCTTACCTTTCTACTCTGATGATGTTACGAGATGTCGGTTATTGTGTATTGTGTAATCTGCCGAAAAGATATTCGAGATATTCAGGGGGGGTTGTTTAATTAAAGCTTAACGTCTCATTCCAGAACAAGTTAGTGCGTCCTTTCCAAACACTTGACACCATAACCTTGGAAACAATGAAAACAATTATCGCTCTAAACGAAATCACCGTGCTGCGCGGAATAAAGTGCTTGGCCTGCGCTACAAAATTTTTTCTCATTCGACTCAATTGCCTCAAACTTTTATTGATGTAGTTATGCAAAAAAAAAAAATAATAATAATAATAAAAATTAAAAAAAAATAGAATGTGCTCTGGTCACGTACGTACTGCATATCGATAATTCATGATCCCGGTGCGATGTTTTATTATTATTCGAGGGCCATCTCGTCATATAAAAGGGGCGACCGAGTATACTGCATCGTGAGAGGCATTGATTAAGAAGGCACATGAATAGACGGATGGATGCGCGCCTACTCTTATTATCTTCTGTGCGATGGTAACCATTACATACGATACTGGTCACTTACACACCAATGACAATTGACACACATCAATTCAATTTTACACAAAATTTATTTTCGACAATGTTTTCTGGTCCAACCGATTTTCTCCGCCCAAACAAAACACATGGTCTATACCAACGCGAGTTTTTGGTACGTATTGGGTGATGTGGTTCAACGTAGTGTTTTGATGCAATCTTAAATTACGAGCAGAAAGTTAAAATTAATATCCTCGGGTTTGTTTTCACCTATTTTTCGTTTTCATTTTCTTTTCTTTTCTTTTCTTTTCTTTTTTTTTTTCTAACGATATTTTATCTCCCCTCATAAAAATCACCCACTTTCCTTGTAGAAATTTCCACTTTTTTTCTCCCGTCTACTCTCATTTCTCCCTTCCTATTCTTCACGCCCACCCATTACTTTCATTTATTTATCAAAGTGACGTATTCCTTTTCTTGCTGCACCATATTCTTCGCATCCATTTCACCCATTCAAGAATTGTAGGCTTATGAGTTCATTGAATCTTTCTCCGTCTATTACAAAATTTCCACGTGATTTATTGTAGCCCAATCGAACCCTTATTCCTTTCAAAGAATGTGAGAACAATAATTAAAAAAACTCATTGAACTTTAAAATAACAGATTCTGAGCGTTACCGTCTTACGTTAATTTGTTTTTTCAATTCTATATAGCAGGATCAAAGCAACTCGATTCAGATTTCTTCCGGAAACAAGGTACGTATGTTTAACATCCAGGGTAACTTTATAAAGTCATCCGTTTGTTTACTTATTTGTCATTTTGTCATTCCTTTTTTTTTTTTTTTGTTTCTTTTTAAAGGAACAAGGCAAAAAAAAAAAAAGAAAGAAAAAAGAACAACTATATTTGTAAATATGACCGAACCAAATGAAGATCAAGAATACTCGATAGTTTCCACCGCACCACAAAGTCCAACCGACGAATACAGCGATGAATCATTGTATAGCACACCAAAACGTATGAGCGAGATATTCGATATCAAGGATGGTTCCTCCAAGAGATATACCACCACCTATGACCTTCGTTGGATAGATTATAGCAAATTTTCAGGAGTGCAAGAGAAAATAAGAAAAATTCGTGATAAGACCATGAGCGATGACACGCAGTCCACTCTGAGAAGTAGTTCGTTGATCTTGGACAACGTAAAAAATTCTGCCGACAAAGGGGGGTCCACCACGAAAAACGAGAACACCTCAAATTCCGATGAAATCGTGGTGGATACCGTCAAAACTAGTCCAGCGCAGAATTCCACAGAGTTCATTCCGCCGAAGACACACGGTGGAGTCAAAAATATTTCTATTGGAATTTCGCAGGGTTCACTTGGAATCGACTCACGAACTCAGATTCCATCTAACGAGAAAAGCAACAATGATAATAGTGAAGAACTGGATAACGCAAGAACTCGAACGCCCCCAATGACACCTCCGGTGACACCCCCGGTGACATCGCCTCCAGGATTGAAGAAACAATTTGACGCGCCCACAATAGAGAGAAAGCCGTCAAAGACCGGAGTCGGTCGAACTCTCTTGAAGCGAACGGTTGTAGTAAAACGAAATGTCGCAACGACCAGGAAATTCTCTAGGCGACGAAGGATCATGGAAGCTTCAACAACTTCAAACCCAGCATCAAGCAATGATCCGACGGATATGGAAGCAGACTTTCTACCTCTGAAGGTGAAGGGACTTCCTTGGCTTCCCGAGCCTTCTCATCCACCGAAACTTCTTCACGCCTCTCTCGTACCTTTGCCACAACACGCAAGGCGATCCACTCTGCTGCAATCATTGGATTCGAGGAAACCCGATTCTATCGTTTTGTCACAACAGAACAAGAAGCAACCGAATGACAAAACCGTTCCTAAGGTCGGAAACCGTGCCTCGCAGATATTTCGACGTCAACTCTTGGAACAAAGTATATCAATGTCGTTCGGAGGTCACCACCAATCTCCGCCAAGGCGACCGAGACGTCGAAGAACAAGGAAGGGAAGTAATGCGAAACTTGAAGATCGAAAGCTGAGGCAAGAAAGAAGGAAGAGAGAATCGATTGCAATGAATGGTGGCGGAAGTAGCAATTCAGAGGGCACGGCGCGAAAAGTGGACAAAGAACCAACGGGGAAGGATAGAATGATCCTTCAACAGCCTATAACCAGAAACACGAATCAACAATTCCTCAGGTCGCCAAGGACGAATTCAATCCGCCGAACGAGAAGTATCTCTTCCCATCGAGCTGAAAAGAAACATGCGAGCATATCCAGCAGCATATCGGAATCTCCTTTTCCGAGGCATCTATCTTCACTGAGGAATCGGTCATCCCGGACATCAAAGAAATTCGCAGTAGTAGGACCACCACCCGTCTTCTCAATGAACCCGGGAATATTATCCCCGACAGATGATTACAATTTTAATGGTCGGACAGAGGAAGAGAGATTCACGGCGAATAATGTTCCTCTGTCGTCCGCAACGGACGTGACATCACCTGCCATATCTCCGAGAAAACTGGGGTCCGGCTTTTTCAGTCTATTCAGCAAACGTGATCATAGTAAACCGTCGATATCTGTAGTACCGTCTCCGACCACTCCCAAGTCGGCGCACCTTGGATTCTCACCGCTATCACCACGATCACCGAGTGCCACCCCGTCACGATCACCGAGTGCCACCCCGTCGCGATCGCCGGATGTCACCCCGTCGCGATCACCTAATGCCACTCCGTCGCGCTCGTTATCACCAGTTTCACGACCCACCAGTCCGCTAAGAAATTCCGGCGCATTAACTTCATCGGCCGATCAATTATTAAGATCGGGCTTTGCGCGCAACAATTCGGAGTCTTTGAGTGCACACAATAAAGCATTGACAGAATCGGAAAAGGTCGAACGACTGAGAAAGAGGCAAGACTTGGAGAACATAATCGCACAGACAGAATCCGAAAGCAAAAAAAATGGCGGAAGTAAAATGAAGGCGTTAAGAACAGCTATAATAGCAACAACTACATCATGCACGTCGCCAGCATTGCCGGCGAGTTGTGCGACGACTCGATCAAGCACAGAAGATAGATTTGTATCAAGAAATTCAAACTCCCCTAGTGGTAATCCAATGGCAAGAACAGATGATCATTTGAGTGATGGAGGAGATGTGGACGCGAGTTCATCGTATTACGAGGAAAGTTCGAGGGGTCGCAGACGCGTGACTGAAGAGATGCGGTCGGACAAATTCGGTTCTAATGTTTGCAAAGATGGCGTGGTTATAAAGATGACGTTGACACCGCCCCTATTTCAATAAAACACATCGAATATAATATATATATACAGTATATGCATTATTTTTATAAATAATTTTTGTACAATAGATAAATTATTAATTTTAGCTTGTTTATCTCGTTTTACTATAGGAAATAATTACCATGCTTTCTTTTTTTTTTTTTTTCAAAGAAACCCTCTTATACTTATATCTAGACACAATAGACCGTTACATTTATTATAGATTGTATCTAGAGCACTATCTCGTAACCACCGAACCTTTTGCGGGCAAGGGAAATTTCTCAATCATTCATTATCAAACATTTCAGTTGATTATTCGAAACAAACAACGCAGCAGCACATTTATTAGGGAAGACAAATGCTTCCTTTTGACAAATACGACTACAATTTATTAATGTTAAATTGCGGCCTTTCTCGTTTCGATTACATATTTATGTGTAAATAACACTCTTTTCTAATTGAGTTTTTTTTTTTTTTAAAAGAAAAAAAAAAAAAAAAAAAAATTATATATTACTTTTGGCATCATCTATCTGTACATGTTTTGCCTTTCAGCCTCATACATTAGTTGAGTTTAATAAAAAGCCTTTGAAATTAACTGGTTTGGTTTATTTTTTGAATTTCACATCACATCTTGATCATACAACAGTGACCGCCAAAAATGTTTTTAAAGGAATATACTGTATTTACCGTATACACCATAATTACCTTTGTGAATCCAATCAATTAAGTACGGATTTTTATTCGATTGTACAGTACGCATAGCACTATTTGGTGATCTAGTCGATAATTGATTAAAACGAATTGATCATATTATTTGTTTATATTTAAATTATTGTTTGTTTTTTCTATAAAAAATATATTGTTTGTTTACTTGTAAAATTTTAATTTGTCACAATCAATGGGGTTGACGATTGCTTTACAGTACACATCTCGATGTCAAAAATGCTCGGATCTATTCGTGCCCCTCAATACAATTACATAAAGTTTTTTTCAAAGTAAGTTTTGAACTATAATTGACACTGGTTCTTCAGTTTTGTCAGCTGGGCAAAGCCGGAAAAAATGGGCAGCATGTGTGTTATACACAATACTATATCCCAACATAACGCAAAATTATTCACCTATGCAATCGCCATTGCATATTGACGCGTAAACCCACGAACCAATCGTTATACGATGTGCATTGCGTAAAAATTTTAATGTTTTACGTAATCTCTGGGATGAGCGTGCTAAGGGTGTTAAAAGATTTACAGGAGTACCTGTGACTTAAATCGGTTTACGTAACGACAAATTCATGCTCTTTAACTTTTGCATGAATGGTCACCTTACGAATTTGTAATTTGCAATGCATAAAAGTGATCGATTATACAGTAAACATTGTAGGTTACTATTAACGGCAAATTAAATTAATTGATAAGCGTCATACTTAATAGGTATTTCTTTTGTGTCTATCATCACGCATGTCATCTTGTATGTTTACAGTAAGTCAAAATTTCAACAATTTTTTCCCAAATTCTATTCATTTATTTTTACAATTATAGGGAATAGGTTTCTCTGTCCTTTGTTTTCGAATTCCACAAACAAACCTTTTTTTTTCTCATATACAGGATATCTATAATGCGTAATAAATAAATAAATAATTATTATTGTTGATTACACAAGAAATTACAACATTGAAACATTAATATGAAATATACAGTATGTGTTCTAAACTTTTTTATTTATTTATTTTTGGGGGGGGCTAATATTTTAATTAGAAAATCGATGAAAACATAATAATTGCGTGTTAATTATTTTCAAGTTACAAGCATTCTTTTTTATTATTAGAAATTTTATTGTTATTTCAATTAATTTTCATTTGAAATTAATAATCAAATCAAACAAATCATTAAAATCAAATAAAAATATTTTATATTATATTCATAACTATATTTTATTAAAAATATTATAAACTATTAGTCATAAAATATAAACTTTAAATTTAACAAATTTAATATTAAAAAATAATTATTAAAAATAGAAATATTTTTATAATTTAAAATAAATATAAGCATTCAAAGTTTTATTATATGGGCAGTTATTTTTTAAGGTAACAAAAATATTATTTAAAAAATTTTTGATGATTTTTTTTATTTAAAATAATTTAGGTTATTTTTTTTTATTTTGAATTTAAAATACTTAGAAATCTATCAATATGTAATTAAATTTAATAAAAAAATATTTATTTTAAAACTTATATTATAAACTATTATTCAAAAAAAAGATTGTATAAATATAATTACTGAATAATAAGAAAATAGTATAAATAAATTGGACTTCATTTTTAGAATTTGACTATTTTCATGAGTTTAATTTTTTTAAGCTATTATGTAAAAAAAAATTTGTTAAAATCCTGATTATCAAAATAATTATATAAACA